TGACTGAATTGAATCACATGTTTTACTTAAATATGTGGTGTTTTGGGGCCATAACATTAAATTACAAAGGATTGTACGGTTATGAATGCATAATAAGTTGATGTAGTTAAAACAATATTGGATGATAGTAATTTTTTGTGTGTGGTTTAGACTGAGATAAATCATGGGTCAGAATTGACCTGCGAACACCATGAACGGTAACAGCTTTCGAACACAACACAAGGGTTAATACAGTAGTGTAGTTTAACTGAGTAAATGTACACAGAGTGAAAGCTATTTCTGAAAACATTATATACATCTGAAGGTGAGATTAATAGAAAACCAACAAAGTATCTTATTGAAAAGGTATTCTAAGTATTAACATCAAGTAAACCAAGGAATATATACCAGGGTTTCCAACACATAGACTATACTTGGGCGTATATTAACGGCCGCCCAAGTATATTTCGCGACCCATTTAGTTTTTTTGTTTTTTTTTCGTCCGCGACCATGACGCCATCTGCGATCGATTAACTAGTGGACAATGATCCTTCGCTCTACGCCTCCTGTACCCAGTCCCGGACTGGCCTGTTAAGTGGTCTGCCTCACACAGGGTGACTGGCTGTCTACATGATGTGTTCAGCCGACATGGCCACTGTCATACAGATCATAAATCGTGTTTAGTCTCTTTATTTTCCCCTCAAAATGCACCAGATTGATTCATTTAACTCCAACACTTAAAAAAAAATCTTACCGGGGGAGCATGCCCCCGGACCCCCCTAGAGAATTTGAGGTCCACCCCCACTTAAAATCACATTGATAGGTTCCTAAATACATTTACCATTTAAAAAAATAAATAAATAGTAACCCATGTCCATATGTTTATTTATGGGTAGTAGATTTAAACTATAGGGCTATCACTATGGGCCCAAGCGATCAACCTAAAGGTTAATGTTAATGTTGTTGCACGTCACATCAACCCCCCAAGTATATTTCAAATCTGTGGGGAACACTGTATACTATAAAAGAAGACTCCCTGCCACTTAGTTCTTCATAAAAATGTGAGATCAGGCGTTAGTTTTAAGTGCAGTTTTATGGACACTGTCATATTGCAAAGCTCGTCCGCATATCCCAGGGCACACAGAGCTGTTGGTGTAGCATGCCAGATGAGGATGCTGTAGAAAACGGCCGAGACTGCTTCTGTTTTCATTTGAGCTCACCTCTCTCTTTCTCTGTCTTCTCTCTCCTTTAGTAGGAATCCTTTGGCTAGCATTGGAGTAGTGCTGTTGTGGTAGACAAACTATTTCTGTCTCCTCCCTTCCCTTCTTCTTTTCCTGTGGTGGATGTGTGTGCACATTGGTGACGATCTGTGTGTTTATCCGTGTGTGTGTGCCATATCTATCTGATGGTCTCTCCTTGGCTTCGTGCTTGGGTGAGTGTGTTTGGTTGTGTGTGAATGGTGGTTGGTTGTGATTGTGTGCATGAATACGTGTGTGGTGTGTGTATTTTTGCATGTGTGTGTTGGGGTCTATCAGGTGTCAGGGCCGGGGTTGCCCCAGGTCAGGCGGGGGGACCGCTGGTCTTGGGACCCGGATGAGGAGCGAAAGCGTCAGGAAAGGTGGCAGCAAGAGCAGGAGCGCATGCTGCAGGTACACACAGGAGCTGAGAGCACAGCATGGAGCATGAGTCCGAAGGTTAGGGGGTGCCATGGAGCATAGAGCGTAAAACAAGGCACTGTGAGGGATAAGTGCAAAGCAGACTTTTAGTTATGAATATCCAATGTGTTTTAGCAACTGAGTGAACAAACTATTTCTAAAACTCTCAGCCTATAGGAAAAAAGATCATCACAAATAGAGTTGTTTTGAATTCACAGCATCAATAGCTTTATCAGTCAATATGTGAATAAATGTAGGAATATTTTGATAATTTGCTTTGTAGCATCCAGCAGCTGCTCCTTACATTAGGCTCTGACATGTTGCTAACTCATAAAAGGATAATGTTTTGACAAAATATTTAATGTATCTCTGTTAAATAAAATATACGGCAGCAAATAGTTTTCTGGTATAGATTATAATAGAAACTCCAGTATATTAACTGGCTTCTAATTCACAATGCATCGTCTCAATGGACACACCACTCACTCTTTGGGTTAAGGATGCTCTAGGTTAAGGATGTTTTTTTGCATATTGTTTTTAGCATGCAAGGCAGATTTGATGCATGAGTCAATGCATAAGCCAGTCATAATCGCCCATTAAGTATTGATTGGGTAATTAATGGATGTTGACAACTGTTGCTAAAACAGTTACACAGTTACTACTAAAACGTTTTCAATGTATAGCCCTGTTTTAAGCCTGTATTTGGCCACTTACTGGGACACTTTACTGCATTCTTTACATCATGCAGTGGCACTTGAAGCTGCTGTGTGGCAGCCAGCTCATCTCAGAATCAGATGGATAAATCACATGTCATTGCTACTTGCAAAGCTTGCCTTCATGTTTGTTTTTATATTAAGCATACCCTTCTGTCGAGGCACACCCCAACCATTGCAATGCACACATTGACCACTAGAGGGCAGTTTTGTGCAGCGGAGGAACCTCTGCTCACTGTCTCCATCTCATGCACACACACACACACACACACACACACACACACACACACACACACACACACACACACACACACACACACACACACACACACACACACACACATATAATGACTCTGTCCAAGGTTGCTGCTGTTGCTGCTGCCCAAATCACCCTCTCTCTCCTCAGCCAATCAGAGCTGCATCTCAGGTCCACAGAGTTTAAACATTTAAAGGATTCATTAGAATCTATGATGCACTGTACTCATCTGCAGTATCATCTTTGTAATTAAATAACCGAGTACAGATTTCTCGTTTGTCTGTTTGACTGTTTGAGATGAGATGGATGAATGTGGTGCATTGATGAGCTTGTTCCCCCCCCCCCCCGGTTGATTCTGTGTCGTCTCTGTGCATCGATCTTTATCTGTCATCTGTCTAGCTTGATTTGCTTTTTCTCAAAATCTTTAATATTGAAATGTTTGCCTCCTACACAAGTCTAAAAAGAGTACTTTGTGGTTAATCTTTAATGTCAGTGATTGTTATATTAATGTACATGAAGGAACAACTTTAATCATATTGAAGCTTTTGAGACAAATTGTGTAGGAACCTCTGCATGCTCTACTTTTCCTCCGCAGTGCCTGCTTCTGGTCTTTTGTGTTTGCTTTGTATTCCTGACACACAGATATCAGATCTAAGCAAGTGATTAGCTATAACAGAGGAGAAGCTAACCAATGCATTCATATATGTCTCTAAGACAAGGCTTATATCCAAAGTATATTCTGAGGGGATCTTAAATGAACATGTTATATAGTCTAGTCCCTTCTTGGTTTAAAGTAAACAGAATGCACTAGGAGAGAAAATTATTCGAACCCTTTTGATTCCAGATATTTCAGCTCATGAAACATATTTTTCTGCCAAAATATCCTCCTGCGGACAGTTCAGTCTTTGTTGAGGCTGTGTGCAGTATATATGTAATGTGTCTGTTGCCATGGTAACAGGAAAAGTACCGGCGTGAGCAGGAGAAGCTGAAGGAGGAGTGGGAGAAAGCCCAGAGGGAGGTGGCAGAGGAGGGGAGGAAGTACCACGAGGAGGTGTGTGTGTGTGTGTGTGTGTGTGTGTGTGTGTGTGTGTGTGTGTGTGTGTGTGTGTGTGTGTGTGTGTGTGTGGATGCTTGATGGCAAGATGTGTGTGAAATGTTTATATTTTGGTGTGTTTTTATTTGAAGGAAAAGTATTTGCTGTCTCAAAAATGTATCCAATAATAGTATGGATGTTTATCTGATAACTCTTCCACCTTTCCCATACTGTTATCTATGAGTAATATATGTTATATTATATGTTGTTTTTAAAATGTCTAGTACAATGCTACACACCATTTGTTTTGTATGACAAATATGGCCAACATTTTCCTGTGCAATTACCCATCATGCATCATAAATGAATGATGGGTAAATGCACATGATATCTGTATTTTGTGTAGTTTTTATCTCGTTTCATTTTCATTTATCACTCAATCTCTTACTTTTGCTTTTGACTCTCAAGCTGCTGAAACAAGTATATATTCCAAGTGTGGGATCAATAAAGTTCTTATCTTATCACACAGGAGCGTAGGATACTGGAGGAGACGGTGGCGCCTCTGACTCCCCGCTCCTCCGCCCTGACCTCTCCAACCCGAGGGGAGGTCTCCTCCAGCTCCGAGCCTCAGGACACCATCGTGCGCTCGCTGGCCGACTGGGAGCGCAAACAGGAACTGCTGGAGAGCCAGTTGGTGAATGGCTGATGAATGATGAGGGATAGTTTGGTAGAAGCATGCATTCATTCAGTGTAGAGTCAGGAGGCGGACAATAAGTTAGAATAACTTGAGTCGACAGTGTTGTATTTTTTTTGTATTGGTTTTTAACTGACCCTGTTTGTGATTGGACAACACAGAGGGGGAGCACAGAAAGTGTTGAATGGAAACGGAGGGAAAACGACAGAACCAGTGACATCAGCACTGCTGACGACAGCATGAAAACAGCCAGGAGGTGAGCGACCTGTCCGCAAGTGGTAAATGTTGAATTATAGACATATAAGCTGACTAATTAGCAACTAAAGACGAGGCCGCTGTGTCACCAGGTTAATTTCAATCATGTAAGAAACACGTGCGCACAGTATGTCCAATTAACATTTCATGTGATCAGTGGCTTTTACTGTTTAGTGAAACTGGGGAACACCTATCTGTTTTCAATACATCAGCAGCACTTTGTATTCATTTGATTGTTGTGTTTATGCAACTTTTTGTCAACCCTGCTTTCTTGTCAGGGTTCCATCAAGGGTGCTTCAAATATTCAAATCCCAGTGGGATCAGCGAAAAGGAAAGTTAAAGGGGACCTATCATGCAAAATGCACTTGTATACATAAACATGTGTCCCCGGTGTGTCAGGGAACTCACGCAGCGTCAGAAAATAAAACCCTCTCTCTTTTCCTCCGAACCCAAATCTCTAAAAACTACAACGGAGCTGATCCAGATTTGCATCAGATATGACGTCATATTGGAAATGTAGGCTGGCTTTACACCCACGGCCCTATCAGAAAGTTGCTATCAGAAACAATGCCCGACTGTTTTGGACGTAATATGGTCGGTGTTTACATTAGCATCGCTAACACTCAGAGCTAACCTGTACTGGAGAGCATGTGTGTGAAGAAGCAGGAAATAAAAAGGAACTCACCTTGTGGTATAACCGGCAAGAGAGAAAGCCTTTGAGCTCCATACTGTTTCAGAAATAATCCTTGATAATCCATGATATGGCGTTTCATCACGGCAGTATTTAGTTTAGACAGTAGCTGCTGGAATTATCAAATTCTTTTTTTTTTTAAAGCTTTATACCCCAAATCAGCACTTTTGAAACAGGAAGTGAAATAGAGGGATATGAGGCATGGCTAGAATGGGTGATCTGTTTGGTATTTTGGGCCAAACACTTCATAGACATGTTTTTTATATATTTTTATATATCTGAGACCTATGCTATTGCCTAAACATAGCATGATAGGTGACCTTTAATAAAACAATAAAACACAGCATGTGACTCGTGTGAAAATGTTTGTGTTCCTCAGCTTGTTGAGTCAGAGCAGCAGTCAGGCAGACGCTCTCGGTCAGAGTCTGCAGAACGGCCAAAAGCTTCCAGCGACGACGAACAAAACCTCGACTCCTGTGAAGAAACCAGAAGAGACTCCAGCGGACAGCAACAAGCTCAGCAAGGCTGCAGGAGACAGGAGGTGTGTGTGAGTGTGTGAGAGGGGCCTTCAGTACAGGTTCTGCAACAAAACCTGGAGTTCATGTCTTATTTCTGATTTTTTTTTATTTGACATGCATTTATCTATTGTGTATTACGAGTTAAGAGGACAAACTATGTAATGATTATGCAGGGTTTAAGACACATAAGCACAGGTTACCACCTCAGTATGAACCTATTATTTCCACACTATTATATCACTACACTATTATTTCATCAATATGTTTCTAAGAAATATAAAGGTGAGGTGTAGTTGTTCCTTTATATCATGGCTGCTTTTGCATTGGTTGCATGAGTATTATTTTAGAAAACATCCATTTAAAGCATTGTTTTATAGCCTTGTATTACTTTTTTATGTAACAAAATGCATCTGTGTTAAGTCTGAACCTGAGGTACCCTACCACTGCTTATTTTAACCTAATAGTAAACAATCACATTTAACCTTGACTTTAAATACATATGTCGAAAGCAACTCTGAGTGGCTCTTATAGTCACACCTTCAGTTCACCTGTTTGACCAGCAGGTGGCGCCTGGTACCACAGTCTTCCTCCACAGTCTTTGACAAGAGATGTGTTTTAAACAATCACACTACTCACAACACCACATTTTAAAGATTAAAGAAGGCCGGGGTTTCGCCCAGACATCACTGAGTAGATTTTGTTTGTCCAGCTTGTTGATTGGTCTGTGTCAGCCAATAGAGTCGCTGCATCTGTGCTCATCATGTTGCATGTTGCTGTCCATTTCCAGGAGTGCTCCCATTGAAAATAACATGTGCCGCAGCTCATCAAAAAACCCCGCAGCATGCTCCCCACCTCCAGACACTCTGCCTCCAGCGCCCAACAGGTACTGCATCACAAACAGAGGAGGGGGGGGGGGCTCATTTCTGCACCGTCATGTTCTGCTTTGTTGCCGGCATTTCTCCACCCGACATGTCACACTGCAGCAAAGACCCTTGAATGCAGTGGGAATTTCATTTGTAATTGTGGCTGTTATTTTGTAATTCAGTTCAAAAATACACTGAGTCAAGACTGCTAAACACCTGAGCTCAACGCAACAAACCGTATTTAATGTTGTCTTAATTTACATTATTTTATTTCCTATTCTCTTCTGTACATATCATATTCTATTTACATGTACGTAGACTATTTGCACTAGTTTTTATTTTGTGTTTTTTATTTTATTATATATGTTGGATTGTTGTGGAGCCATTTCTACACGGTGGCTTTGTGCATATAACAATAAAACCTTTGAATTGAATCTTTGAACAGCATATTAACATATTAACTGTTTATCTTATACCAGGGTGTCCGCGGGGTCTTAAAAAGTATTAAAAGTTGATAAATCAATTTAGCGAAAATTAAGGCTATTAAAAAGTATTAAATGGCATTTTTCAAAGTATTACATTTTGTAACTTGTTTTCAATAAGTCTATAAATGGTCCAAAGAGGTTGTATTCTACAGTGTGCCTGAATGTAATCATTGCGTAGGATCAAGTGTGTGTTCGAACTCACATCTATTCCTTTGCACGATCTTTGAAGTAGCTTTTCGATCTTGAGTATGTGTGGGTCGCAGATCAAACCCTCAAGACCGCTTGCGTTGATCGTCTGTTCGTCCGGTGTCGGATGAGTTCCTTTGGCATTGTTACTTATGTACGGTCGTCTGTGTGTAATTATTCACCGATCCTAATAATGTTAAGAGCTTTTTACTGTCACGTACAAGACAGGCTGGATTTTTTGTTAACCTACACCTCTCTCTCGCTCCGTCTCTCAGACGATCGTGTCGCATCCAGGTCGCCGTTGGGGTCCCACGCATAGGGATCCTGCGGCCGAGTGGTCGCATCGTGTCGAAGAAGGGTACTGTCTTGGGATGTTGTGTGCTCTCTCTCTGACTTTTGAATATATTGCTCCTCTCGCTCTCTGGATTACTGACTTATGATGTCGTGCCCATATAACGTCCCTTGTTTACATTCTGGATTCTGGAAACGTTTAATAAATGAGCTGGAGTCGGCGGTGAAGACTAACATTGGGCGGCCAATGGAACCGCTGTGTGAATGGAGTGTAAAGTGATGATGGTCATACTCACTGTAATCGGAGGAATGAAGGTGGTAAACGCGTATGAACGTGGAGAGGGGTATTGCTCCAACGAAATTGTGGTCGCATTTGCCTGAAGCGGCGGATAGTGCGTCACTCGCACGCTAGTCTACCAGGACTGTCGACGGCAGTTTGGGTTGCCCTACGGTATTTGATTTCTGTGTCTTAGT